GAAACTTGTAGAATACGAAATTTTTCACCGGTTCTGACATGTTTGCAAATTTTGGTGAGTTTTCGAGTATGTTTAGGCCATGTCATTTGGGCCTACTTTGCAGAAAAAAAAAAAAAAAAAAAAAAAAAAAAAAATAAAATAAAATAAAATAATCCGAGCAATTTCAATAGGGACCTCGCACGGTCGTGCTCGGGCCCTAAAAATATAATCCGAGCAAATTCAATAGGGACCTCACACGGTCGTGCTCGGGCCCTAATAATCATCAGAATCACAAAACCTAAAAACACTCGATTGTTGTATAACAAAAAGAGCTCTCATGCTGATTATTGTGTAATGTGAATTTTATTATACTCCTGTCCCCATGCCCACCGCCACTCTACAATCACACGCCCTAATGTTATATTAACTAATATTTAACTACCCACACCCTGCAAAAAATCACATTTAGAAGCATTTTTCTCTAATTCCATTCCAACAATTGATGATATGCACTAAAATAATAATAATTTACTATTAATAGGCTGTTCATGGTTAACATTATGTGTTGTTAACTTTATCCAGTATCCTGGCCTAATCTGTTAATTTATCTGCTAACTTTGCCATAACCTACCAATTTTGCGGGGGATAATCCACTTACATGCTTTTGTGCACATATTAATTTAAATCACAGGTGCAGATAATATACAATCTAATTCTTTAACGACGTATCCTTAAAAGATGCATCACATATGGTTTATTCTTCTGCAACTCCACACTGGAGTGAATAGAGATGACGGAGATGGTGTCAGGTGTTGACGTGGTTGGAGTTTGTCCCCGGGCGCTGCACAGCCCACTGCTCCCTTGAGGGATGGGTTAAATGCAGAGAATGAATTTCGCAACATGTATGTGTATGTGACAATAAAGTATCTTCTATCTATGACATTTCCATTGTACATTTGGGTAAGTCATTATTGATCCATAGGCATCTGCTTAAAAGATGTTATATCATTATGTCTAATGGACCAAATAAAGACTTAAATATTTCTTGCTATGCAGAAAAACAAAAAACTTTCTGCTTTTAAATAACTTTTGTTATAAATAATGTGTTGGTGACAGAACACAGATGTATATTAGATACATACAGTAAGTGGATATCTACCATTTGAGTCATGAAGAATAAAAGATTTGGTTCTACAAGACACCAAATACATACAAACAGTAGAATAAATCACAGGTTTATGCATTTTGACAGCCCAAAACCAAAATAAGTTGTAATGTGCAAGGATTGACAAATTAAACCACATTTACTTATAACAACTGATTATGCATATCTCACACAGGCTAAATTAGGGAAACTGTAATGAAGCAACACAAAATACTGTGAGAAAATTATTTGATTTATTATAGTAAGAGGCTTTGGAAAAGACAACCGACTGGATACCTGAAGTACAAATGTAGTGGACTGTCCCTCTCATTACATAAACCACTCAAAACAGATTTCCATACATAGTATTTGGCAGACACATACCCCATCTACATGAGCTTCAGCATGCCTGTCCATCTGTGTGTAGATAATGATATCTGAGCACATACAGCAAATACGTGTATGAGCGTGTATGTGTGCAGCTGTGAGCTTGGGCCTTTGTATATTTGCAGATGTGCATGTTTGTGACCATATGCAGATATGCGCGTGTTTTGTGTACATATGATGCGAGTATGTGAGTATGGAGGAGGAGGGGAGTTGGATTCATAGCTACTTGTTATTCATGAAGGTGGCTGCTGCAGTGTGCAGCAGCATGAGGGAGATTCCCAGTGGAGCTTCTCTGGTCACACTGCCTGTCTGGGACAGCATCAGAGGATCACAGCTGAAAAGAAGGCACCTCCACAACGAGCATTGAGCTGCTCCACTGAAATTCTCATAATACAACAGAATTTCATACACAGCAGCAAAATCTGGTCAGAAACATATGTTTTTGCAAATACATCAAACTAAGCAAAGACATAATAAAAAAAAGCCACTGGTTAAAACCGAGTCAAATCAGACATGGCATCACTGTGCTGATTTTGTAGTATTTACTAAACCAGAGGATTCACACATCCCATTAACTTTTTGGAAACTGGCACTTGATAAAATCCCTGTTCAGCTCTCTGGAGGTGTCATGCGCCTAACAGAATGAACCAACTCTTTTATGAGACAAAACAATGGTCTCAGATGACATACCTGCACTCACAAATTATCCCGTAAGATTAAGATTAGGTACCTTGTGAATGGTGGGAATGTCATTGAAATCAGGCAAGAATCTCTATTTGATACATTGTCCCAGATGCTTACAGTGCTTGAAGGCAGTTACTTAATGGGTGGTTCCACAATGTCTTAAGCAAACGCTTCATCCACTTAAAACTAGGCTAAGCGCGAGCTTCAAAGCATTTCCACAAGAACATATCTAACCCTAGCAGATCTTCTTTTACACAGGTAGCCACAATATTAAAGTCCCTATGTGTAGATTCTAATGGTATAATCTTTTGTTCATAGAAAAAAGAGAATGAAGAAATGGAACTTGTTGCAGTCTGTGTGATTTTAGCCTATTCACAGTTAGTGTGTCCGGGTCAGACAGAGGGAGGAGCTTTAACTGTTTTCAAATTAACAGTGAATGCCACTTGTATTAAAGTACGGATTTTCACCTCTCAAATTATACCCCCAGACCAGGTGGTTGTGAAACACAATAATACCTTCTATGATGTTATAGTGCGTTCACATTGTCACCTTGTTATTGTGTAGTAGATAGGAAGTTCCAGGGTAAAACTGCACTCCTCCATGTTGGCTGTCAAAAAACGCAATCGCAAACTCTCACTCTCTGTTCTGACAGGGAGGATTCAGGTTTATTTGCTGGTGGCATTTGCTACACAGCGATTGGCTATCGAATTTGTTACGTACCAAACATTTTCCTGTTGTCATTGTGTGTATTTGCCGCGCGTTTTCTAAATGCTGCATGTGTTGTCAAAGTGGTGAAGATGCTAATTTTTCTTAAGTTGCAGCATTTTGAGCCCTTGGAGCTTCAGTTCAGAAACTGAATGATGTCCAATGTTGTACAACTCCTTTAAACAGCACAAACATTCTCCCACCTATAGTTATGGGCTGAGAGCAGGATGTGTCAAAAAGGGAAAATATGCTTTCTAACAATTCTACAGCCATTTAGCTGCCTAGCGGTTGTTGGCCAAGAAATAATTCACTAACTAAAGCTACAATGTCTTTAGTGCTCTTCCTTTCAAATGTGTCACTTTCTTATTCCACCACTATGAGCCACCTCTGCTTTGTTTTTTTCTTTTCTTTCTTCCTCTTTTTCTTCTCATTCTTGCCTTTTGTCTGTCATTTGTTTGACTGTGTTTCTTCAGTGTCTTTCCCCCCTTCTTTCTTTTCTCTATACTCATCTTCCCCTACTTCTCTTCTTCTATTGTTCCATCACTCTCTTTCTTTCTCTTCCTCTCTTGTGTCCCACCCTGGAGGTCGCTCCAGGCGGATTGCCTTCTATATGCATCACACACACACACACCTCTATACTGTCCTTAAGATCCCTACATTCTGCACACACGTAAGCACACACAAGCAAAAAGGACACGAACCAGCAATCCTCCACAGAGCTACATGTGCACAGAACACACACACAAACCTTCCCTCTCTTGTTCTGCTTCAGTTCCTCTGCCTTATTCTCTCCCTTACTGATTCTCTCTCTGTCTTGCTCCTTTACAGCCCAGGAGGCCTCAGTGGACGACATTGCAAACTAGTAATTCCACACAGACAAAGACCAAACATGTCAGTCACATTTAAAATTCTGAATGAAATGTTCAAATAAAATAGAGCAAGTACTAAAATAAACAGCTGGTTATGATGAATGAAATGATGGATAATATAACGTACCTCGTGCTGTGATGGTGTCTAAATCGGCCTAAAAATCTGATGTATTTTTTAAGGGAACATACCAGGGTGTGTTAACTCCAAATAGTGTATCCTTCACATTTTATTGTAGACCATTTTTGCCTGCATGCATGCATGATAAACATTTTTGGTGGCAATTAGTTTCCATTCACTCCAATATGATATGAAAATTAATTAGCAGACTCCTAACACTTGCTTGAGTTGTTGTTAATCCAATAATGCATGGTGTAATGCAGATTAAGTACAGACTGATTTGCAACATGAGCACTGCTTTCCCTTAAACTATAGTGTAACAGTGACTACATGACAAACACTAATGCAGACTTGATGTTCATGGATTATACAAGCAGAGTATGAATGAACAGTATAAGTGGCTAGTAGTAAATAGGACATGCTAATAAGTCACCTGTGTGGTCTTTTTAAGCAGCATTTCCACCATGTTTTAAGAATCTGTCTTTTTTGCTAAATACACTCTCTCACATCCTTACATGTACGTTATTCATTCATGCAACTGTTATTTGCACAAGGCGGTCCTATGAGGGTTGTTAAGTCTATTTTGAATAGGTGCCCTGTGTACCTGCAGAGATACTGTGTCACATGTTGCAATTATTAGTAAAACATATAACTATGGCTCAACTAACTACTATAAAAATGCATTATTTAGTTATAAAGTGTTATTTTCTGTTAAGGTAATATGTACATTATAACAAAAGTATAGTTAAACAAACAAACAGACAAACAAAACCAAGCTGCCATAGTTCTGGTGCGGAATTGTAACTTGATTACAATGACCGCAGTTATCAACATGCCTTTATTTTCTTCCTAGCCTGTTATGACAGTGCATGAATTCTGCTGTTGGTGTTAGCAGCAGTGATAACAGCAGAAGCGCTAGAAAGAATAAAATTGATTTGCCCCGTTACAGCTGTTACAGACGCAGAAGTCTACACGTTAATGTTAATGGTAGTCGTGGCAGTTCCACAAGTACGAGCAGTTATGGGAGTAGTTTTGCAAAAATAGTACCGATGGGGTTCAATTGAGCGGAGGGACACAACCGTGCTGCGGTCAGTGAATGCCTTGGGATCCAGCGGAGAAACACAAGTATGGATGGCGGCGGTGATGCGGTTCAGCGTTCCACCGTTTTTCGTGTTGAGAGAAAAGACTGACGCTTGAGCGGGTGGAGACTGCTACACATTTAAATCCCCCGGGTCGGGTTTTCAGCGTTTAGCAACAAATAACTTTTCCTTTTTTATTTTCATTCTACCGTTGGATTCTTTAGAGCTGGTTTAATGTCGTAAGGAACAGGTCTGTAAGGGCGTCGTTGTTGGAAGTTTTTTCGAGGGGGGGTTTTGACCAGCAAAGGGCCATGGCAGTCGAGGCTCGACCGGAGCTGGTCGGAAAGCGGTTCCTCTGTGTCAGCGGGGACGAGCCTCCTGAAATCGGCGACTTCGGTCGGTGGCCGTGGAGGTCTGGAGTCATACGGGCCGTTAACCATCGTGACAGCGACAATCCCGACCTGACGGTAAGGACAGCGCTGACTTGGTCCCCCTCTTTGGTCTGTTACATGCAAAGCGAACGGTAAACCCTCTGTGGTTGGTGGCTAGCCAGCGAGGCACTGTTGTACTCTTGCCAGGCGGAAATTCATTTGCGCCTTTCTCCTGGTTGTTATGGCTCTTTGGACCAATGAGTGCACTGCTCGTTTTTGTCATTGTTTCACCAAAATATTTATCACGCGTGTGTGTGTTTGACTTGTTATTTGGCCACTTAGCAAGCAGGTTAATGGGAAGCAGACTGCCAGCAGGGGGTTGTGGAAAGCAAACAGCTATCGTTAGCGCTGGTCCAGACAGTACTGCGATTATTTACATCAGAATCTCACTCATAACCCACTGACTGTGGCGAAGACAAGCCTCCGTGTTTTCATGTTTAGTTAGTGTGAAGAATGGTTAAACATACAACAATATGCACACCGTGTCATGTCAAAGCAAGCCATTAGTGAACGGGAAGCACCTGGAATTTGAACTGAGAGCCGCTGCGATTGTAAGGCATGTGTAGGAATGTGAGTCCCGAGCAGCTAAATGCGTTAATCTGCTGTAAAACGTTACTCCACATCAGCTGATGGAGGTAAGGTTAGCTTTCCAGGTTGAACAGCCTTTACATTGTGCTAATCCCTGTGAGTCCGTGGTTATTGGTCCCGATGCACGTTATTTGAGCGCGATGATCGGCCCCGTCTGCCTGTGATTTTCTGGCGGACAACACCCCCTCCGACTTGGACAGGGACGCAGGAATGCTAGGACTATTAAAATCATAAAACTGTCCTGCTGCAGGCTGGACAATGGGCCGTTTTGTTTTCATGTTAAATGTTGCCTACAGTTTAAAGACAACTCCATGTTGTCACTTCTGGAGCTTTCAGCCGCAGACATATTTCCTGCTTGAGGTGTAATTATTGCATTCTTAATACGGTCAGTGGCCAGGCTGGGGTGGATGAAAAAAAAATTGGCAATATAGTGGTCCGAGTTTTCCCCCTCTTTTTGAAAAAGAGCTTTTTTCATGATGGGTTAACGTGCCAAAACCAGCAAACAATGAAATATTTGCCCTGACAAGCCCCTGGCTGGCAAATACACAGTACTGTCTCACTGTAGTGTGGCTGTTCCCTGTTTTCTTTTGTTCACAGAATCTTCTTTCTGCCTGTGCAGAAAACTGGCCAAACCCAGCACAGTTCTGATTTGACTGTTTGGTGTGATTTCTGTGCATATGTGCTATTCTGTGAGGACAGTAAGTCATCAGGTATTATAGATATCACCTAATGGATACAGGTGTCTGTGTTATTCTTTGTGTATGATTTAATTTGGGAGTCATTGGTGGTGGTTAGATTCTGTGTGTTAATAAAGCAATACTTACATACTTGCACACAGGTCACAGGTCCCTCTCGCATGTCTTTGACTACTCATGGTGCTTTCTATGCCAGATAGACAATATATTCCAGGTTTCTCTTATTCTGCATTTCAGTCATGCATTTACATCAGGTTGTCTGCTTCTGACAGGAATAGTGATTACAGTGTTGTAGCTAAACACTTCTCACAGGTGTAATTGCATGCAAACTTGTCTGTGCAGCATTTTGCATATACTTGTTTATATCGCACAACAGATATGCTCTCAGCTTCCTAATTCCCTTGTAGAATTGGTCCTTGTGTGTGATGTGATTTAGGCAGTGAGTAGTGTTCTGGTTTAATTCCATACAATGGGACACAGTCTCATTAGCAAGGGGCTTAACTAGCTGAGTGAATACAGTGAAGGATTGGAGATTAGATTAGAAGAAGTGTGTCAAGCCAAGCTGTCAGGCCTTAGTCAAGTGTCTGTGGTCACATCGGCCAGTAGTGCAGGAGTATACTGGCTTAGCAACAGCTCACTAAGGCTTATTGGTACATAGCTATATGTCTTAGTAGAAAAATAATGCAATTTAGTCACAAGTATGACCATAAATTGATGTAGAGATCGGTCTGAGATTACCACCCGTTGAGTTCCAAATGTATGAAATCTGTAGGCTTAATCAACCATTCTCTATCACAATGGCTGCTAGATTTTTAAGACGATAACATGTCATTTCTAGGCTATACACAATTAAACTGACACACTGTTCTCAAATAGCTAAACATCCTAATATAGAGCTGAAACGGTCAACTCATTGATTAGTAGGTCTAAAGAAAATGAACCAGTAACTGGATTTTCATGGTAGCGTGGTTGTTTCACGCTTCCAGGTTTATAAATGGGAGGATTTAGTGCTTTTTCCTTGTCTTGAATTTGCCTTTAGTGAGCTGTTTTTTTAGGTGTGAGGACACAAGCAATTTGAGGATGTCATGCAGTTGCTCACAGCTCACAGACCACTTGAGGTCTAGTTCTCTGAGCTCTCTCCACCTGATAAACCTGACATTAAATGAATTAACTTAAAATAATCTATAGATCACTCGATAATGAGAACAATCATTAGTTGCAACTCTAGTCTAATATAATTTGAGCATTAATGTTAAAATGTGAAATGTTCTTACTTCAGCAGACATATATTTTGGGATTTGCTCCATAAAACTTTCTTGTATTCATCCAGATGTACTGAATTCAAAATGCAGCATTTAATTTAGGTCAGTTAACAAGATGGAAATAATTACACTATGGGACCTTACAGTAATCCGAGGTTTGCAGTAATACTGTACATTGCAGTTCAGGGTTTTATACAATAACATGTTACTGTGCTAATGAGTGCCACCGAAAACATCAGACGGTAGAGGTTATTAAGTGTAATAACCCCTATTTGAGGAGGTATGATGACATTAAAGATATAACTACAGACTATTATTATTATTATTATTATTATTATTATTATTATGTTGTTAGATAATTTAAGAATTTTTAATGGTGTATTTATGGTTAGGGTGGCCCAGTAATAGACATCTGGTCTAGCAGTAGATTAGCCAGTTTGACTGGCTTAAAGCCAACGTGGGCTAAACAATGAAGACGCGTAAATAATATTAGAATTTAATGATGCATTTTGCTTAATTGCTTTAGAGCCAATGCTGCATATAGTGTATATGATTGCAGGAATATCACTGTGTTGTATTCGAGTCACTGTAGTAATAACTGGGGCCAGCCTAAATGTTTGTGCATACCGTTATTTATTCTTTTGGGATATTTCATCTGCTCAGTAGCTTCATTGTGAAACCCTTAGTCCACATTATGCATTGAGCTCATTACCAGAATCAGAAGGAGCTTTATTGCCAAGTATTGTTTTACACATACAAGGAATTTGCTTTGGTGATAAGGTGCTACATGTAGACAAACATTCAGTTGACATAAATAAATGTAGAAATATATAAATATGTAATAAACAATGCAGTGAATTGTTGCCTTGCAGTGAATTTTTGAATGGTCGAGTAGAGGCAACTAAATCTTTCTATTACTGCTTCTCTCTTTTCCGCTGTTGTTTGCACAATAACTCACAATCAACAGTCAAATAGCACACAAGTCTTGCCGATGTTGGCTTGAGATTGTACGTCTGTATTATATTTATATAGCTCAGAAATGGCAGCCAGTGTGCAGTGTTTACAGCGAACAGCTGATGGGGTTAAGCTAAATACTGGGTCTTAAGTTGCTGTTTTAAGTTTTCATCAGTTTAGTAGGTTTCTACAGGGAGCCAGAGTAGGTCTCCTCCTCTCCAAAACAAACGGACCAGCTGATTACAACAGATAATACAGCTCGTTAAAGATCTGTCTCTTCATTATACTCCCCCACACAAAAGCATAGCCTATGGTTTTTCATTATATTCCCATCAAATCTGATGTTCATGTATACATTTTGCTCATAGATAGTGGTGTTACTAAATGATGATGCATGTCCATCACTTTGGGGGATAAATCAGCTGGTAAATTTGTCTGATCTTCGCAGGGCGTCAGACCGCGGTGGAAACGCACACAACAATGGGCTGAAGGAAAGTTTTTGTTCCTTGAAAAGGAGATCCTGGTACTAAAAGTCCCGGGAACTTTTGGTGGAAACACGGCTAAATAGACTGATACAAAAACATTAAACCTAAGCTGATAATCTGTATAGCAGTGGCCTACAGAGTGAATTTCAGAGCATATTCCCTGGCAGATGCTTAGATTTTGGTGGGACTTCAGGGACACGGATACAAGCCAAAAGAAAAAGCTCATCAGCAAAACCCTACGCTGGCACATTAGGCATAAAACTGCCATACTCATCTGGATTTGCAATGAATGGAAAGAGCAGGGCAGCCAGGTCATTGCCTATAGGAGCCTTTGTTTGTTTTGTTTGTTTGTGTGTGTGCCGTAGCAGTGCTGCTAGTTTGTATTTTAGGGCTGAGGTTCATCTCTGTGTGGCTAATCAGCAGAAAATGACAGGCCATGGCCGGGAAGGAAGCTTCCACATACACAATCCATGCATGGTTGTTGCAGTGCTGCAGTTCAGCCAGCTTAGAAACATTTCTAAACAGTGTGTGAGTGAATGTGTGTGTATGTGTGTTGGGTCGTGAATAGCAGCATTGTTTAGAGCACAAACACAAATCAGTGACACAGAGAGTAAACACTGCAGGAGAGATGCTTTTACCTTCTAATGTAGGGCCGCTACACACACTATAATATGGACTTGGCTCCACCATTTAACTCATTATAGAATGGACTTTACTTTTCACTATCGCACTATGCACTGAATGCTGTTCATTGCGTGGTGCGTATTTCAGATTGCACTTATCTGAAAACACACTTGAAAATAAGTGTTCTTTAAAATATTACCCATCTGCCAAATTTGTATATTCTTTTCTTTTTTTGTTCTTTATTTATAGCGCAGAATATTTCACAAACTACAAAGAAATCACCTTGCAGTTACAGAGGACATTAGAAGTCTGCAAAAATGAACAGCTTCCCTTCTTATTATCCTTTTAAAAAAAAAAAACAATATGCATGCTATAACCATCCATCCACCGTCAACCGCTTATCCTGCGTACAGGGTCGCGGGGGCTGG